GACGAGGCGGTTCGATGTCGTTCCTTGTCGTAGTGTTGCTGTTGCTTGTCCATAGCGGGCGAGTAGCCTCTTTGGTAGGACGTCCTCGATTGCTGATTGTAATCCTGGGACAAATCGTGGCCGAGACTCTTCAGCTCTCTGTACACTTGATTGCCGATGCCAGAACTGTTGCTACCGGCGCGAATCGACCCGTTTTCCTCCATTTCCGTGTTGTCGCCGGTTCCTGCGCCTCCTCCAGCCGACGTGCCCGACGTCGACTCGCCTTCGTCGCTGCTTCCTGAAAGAATGCGGACACGGCTCAGAAACAACCACGCCGCTGATCGATCGATCCTGATCGAAGGTCAAAGAACGCTCGAGGAAGGGTAAAAGGTGTTGAACAGAAGCGGCTGCCCACGTTCTGCCTCGGTCTCGATGATCGTTGACCGACAGAAAGGTCGAACACCCACGTTAGAGGGATTAAATGCACGGGAGACGGGGAAACTCAATTTATCTGTAAAAGTTTTGCCGAAGGAGAAACTACGGACAATAGCGTTCGACACAAGGCATTATCGATTGCTCGCTTGTATCGAATAACGGTGCCGGACGAAGGATTTTTAAGTCGCTGCGACGATATCTGCGAACTTAGGAATTGCAAAGCGACCGAAGGACATTTTCGAGTTAACGAGGAGAAGAGAGGCGTAATGGATTTTATGAAAAATGGGGAGCCGACGAATTAGAGACGGCAGAAATTCAATTTACGTTCGCTATTCTCACGTGAGTGTTTCTAATTACAAAAGGTGGCGCCAGATGAAGGATGAATTAAACCTTGATGTCGCTACAACGACGATCGCGAAGGTCGAAATTTGCAGAGGCACTGCAGGAAGTAGTGGAGCTATCGGAGAGCGAGATGGGAACGGGGAGAGAAATTAGGATGGATTTGGTAGAGCTCTGTTTGCCGAGACCCTGGTTTCCCTTCGCGCCCAGACGAAATCCTAGGCACACACAAGGACAAGTGGCAATCGAACAACACTATCTCCTCGACCCGTCGGTCGTTTTCTCAGCCACAGTGCCACGAGTGTACGACGCGACACCCGAGCCAAGGATGTTTGACGCGATAACAGGACTTTATTGTCCCCCTACCTTTCTGATGCGTCAGGAAACTGCGTCGCGATGCGACCGAATCTCACGTAGAAAGAGGCCTATCGGAACAGTGCCCTTCTTCTCGATTACTCTTTTTATCCCGATGACGCGGATGCATTCTCGGACTGGAATTTTCTTCGAACCACGATTGTACGAACCTGCGGAACCATCCGTCGAATCTGGATTTATTTGTATAACTCCAGACCGGATACGGGACGGGCCCTTCTAACACAAGACTTATCTTCGAATCGAAAGATATCTCCGTTGTTGTATCGGCTATCTGAGAACAAACTATGAACTGTGTACGACCGTCCACGAGTGACGCGCAAAGACCTGCGACAACGATCGAGAGTCCTCTGCAAACAGCGTAAGCTCCGTGAATCCACGGCTAAGCAAATTGCCGACAAGCTTGCAGGTGTATCCGAAAGGAAAGTATAAAACAACTCGATACGTCCTTCGCTCCGTCGATCTTTTACGATCCAATGTTCGTGTCATTGCTAGAGGCCACTTATAAAAAGATTTTTTAAATTTTCCCAGAAGCGGAAGATCTTCCCGCCAATTGAATCGGAGCACGAATCGCGGCGGAACGTTAGAAATATCAATTTTATCGGGCGAGCTTCAATTGGAGAAGGTAAACAGTAAGTAACTCGGCATTAGCGAGAGCCAGTCGTAAAAGAAAACGGTGATCCTGTGTGGTCGGCTGGTCGACACGAAACTCGAAGATGAACGATAATAGATATATTGGGACGTGAGCTCGTTGTTCGTCGAGGAATCGTGTTCTATGACATCGATGCGACTATCGACGGTAATCGCACGATATTTCGACGAAGCGAAGAGAATAATCGTAAAGATGCGATTTCGAGAAGGAACTGGATCGCTTCTCGATAAAATAAATACGGATTTGGTGAATCGACGCGATCCAAAGATGACTCGGGACGAGGGTCCGTATAGGAAGCTCGAGATCCTCTTGTGAGACTAGTCGATACGATGCAACAACAATATTTGGAAAACTCTCGACATCGGGGGTCTTTGACTCCTGTGGGACACGAGTGCTCAAGTACTTTCTCCCTTGACAGAACTACGAGTACTTGTTGAACCATACGCGATATTATCCTCGATGATAGCGGCTCGAGAGGCTTCCAGACCGATTAGAGTAAAGTGCCGCGTTTGCCGCGGCTTAGAGAATCGAAATTATTCGTGGGAAGACCGTGCTCTCTTTTTTTCCTTCGCATGATGCATAGTTTTTTTGTTGGATCAACAGATTCCTTTATTCGAAGGACATTAATACTCTTGTACTCGTGATTCGTGGGAAAATGTCGCACGGAGTAATTTATGATGGAGGTCCGATATGAAAGATGGAGAAAATTTGTCAGTAAAGAGAAACGTTTTTAAACAATTTTTCCTAGATGGATAAATAACGTGATTGCACCGATTTAGTTAGTTAAACATAAAGGACCTTAATAGTGTAATTATATGATTTTTCAATTTAACGACGGTAGTGTTCGCTTTCGAAGGAAAATATTAAAAAAAGATATTACCAGGAATAAGACAAATTGAAGAATGATCTAGTTAAGAGGTTAATAGTGCTCATTTAAAATCCATTATAGACACTACAGAAGCTGATAATGTAGCGCTTGAGAGGGAAGATAAAAAATAGATTCCAAAGCACTTGGTACACGTTGTATAACAGAAACGTTAACGCACCGAACATCGTGGAAACGACCGCCTACAAATTTTATGTAATCGACAAACTTGAAGAAATTAAATAAACACTCAAGTAATGACGGTGTTGGATTAATATGAAAAAAGTTTAAATTGCAAAATGGAATGATCGCATTCAACCTAATTACGGTTACAGCGTACCGTGCTATGCTTTAACCTCGTGCGAACAAATGTGCGAGTCACTGTTTTAACGTACAAGTTCACCTCTTCAAGTGTTCTGTTTATCGATGAATCAGCTTGCATGCAAAATAATCGTGCAGCAAGTTTTTCAAGAAAATAAAGTAGCGAAAAAGTGGCCGGTATTTGGGTCCAGAGTGGTAAAAACGGGAATATTAGAGAACGCTCGGAGATATTCGTGGACGGATCCCGGAAAAGATAATTAAGCAAATTGGCAGGCAAACGACAGGGTATCGGAAGAGCGATTGCACCGTAGAACGTATTCACACGCGCGTAGACCGCATTATTGTAACCGCACAGGACATCCTGGTGATACGGGAATCCTGATGGAAAGAATACTCGTTCTGCCGCCCATTAGCACGTATCGTTGCAACGATACTAATTGCTTCGTTAATCAAAAACGAATTTCCCCGGAGAACCTCGTCCGATTTCCAATTAATCGATTAGAGAAATTGATCAGAGTCCTGCAACGAGCACGGTTGTTCCACGACGATTATAAGACCATCGAGTCGTCGCGCAATTACCACTAGATGGCAAACCGAATTGGATAGAGGAATCTGTACACTCTGACTTCCGGACAAGTTGCGGTTAAGTTTCCTTTTTCAGATACTCGGAGATAGAATGCCTTTTCCCGGTAATTTATATCAAATAAAATTGAAAATCCTCTGACGTATCTCAAAAACACAAATTCTTTTCTTTTTGTAAGTTAATTAATACGTTAAACATTGTTGGAGTCAAGTGACGTCCGTCAAAAGTATTAATTAGTTTTAATTTCCTCCGTATGAAACTCGTTCGTTAAAATATTCAAACGATTAATTTGTGCTACGCGTCGTGGGTCCTTGGTTACAACTGACCGTTGGTCTAGGGTTAATATTTAATCAGTTTCGCAAGCTAAGGAATAGAAAATTTAAATTGCAAAACGAAGTAATCGCATTTCGATTAAAATGAAATACGATATGCCGTGTAGCATATGTTTCAATTACGATGAAACGTTCTTCGAGCAGATCGTATCTTCTATTTTCACGATGTTTCTATTATTCGCAACAGTAAGTCCCTCATACGAACGTCTCTAATTAGACAAGTACAACGATATCGAAACTTTTCACTCGGTAGATGGCAGACTCGACGCGAGGGTATCAAAGGATTAATTTCGTTTCCTTTGACAAAACGCGTTCTTAAACCGACATCGCTGTACCCGCTTGAACAAACATTTCTAACTTACCGTTCATCTTGTTGAAATCGACCATCGGTCGCGACAAATCGAGGCCTTTCATTCGCGTCGATCGGAAAGGTTCCAGCACCGGACGTCAACACCGGCAAATCACCGTCTATCACACATGCTATCACAAAATCTAGGCTCACGATAACACGATGTCAACATAATCCAACGGCGAAAGGAATCAACGGAACGTCCAAATTGGCCGCGCGTCCATGATCAATCGATCGATACCGATTGTCCAGGGTAGCAACGATAGGTAGCTGGCGCACTGTTAGATCGGCAGGGGGTAGAAACGTAGGCAGGGGGTAGGTGGCTCGAGAGGAACCGAATCGCGAGGCGTGCGACGCGGAGATGACGAAATAAGAAACGGATGACGAAGAGAAGAGCGCTGCTCCGTGTCAGCTGGCTCTTGGCAGACTAGAGGATCCGAAATCTGTTGAGAAGAGGATGGCACAACGAGGGTTCCCGAGGGAAGCCAGGGACGATCCACGGGGTGTGGCGGAGCCGCTTCCATCGAGACCTCTGGTTGGCCCACGGGCGGAGCAACCCCTATCGCATTCGGATCCCCACCAGGCCACCGCAGCATCCCTCGACAGAGCGAGCAAGAGAACGAAAAGCTGAACGGACGAACACAGAGACGTTGCTTATACACTGACAGAGAAAACGGAGCTGAGGCTGTCTGAGCGAGCCTCGGTGGGGGCAGTCGGACGAAGAATCAGAAAACGTGACTTTGATAACGAACGAGACACACGCTGCTGCGAGAAACATCAAATACCTACTCCACTTTCTTACAACTCCTCTTCGCAAACGAGATCCTTATTATACTTTTTGGATACACACTGCTAATTAATCTATTAAAAGCTAACCTTATCGTATCACGTACCGATGTGTCAAAGGTGTAATATCAGTAAGCACAAATGTACAACGAATACTGGACACAAGAAATATAGAACACGGTAGTTACTTGATTTACTAAGACATCGTATCTCTTGTGTTCAAAGGTGCAATATTTTATTATATTTGCAAATGAGTTAAATGGATTAGATAATCGAACCGCTTAAAATTCAGTGCGTCTTGACGATTCATCTCAAGGAGATAAAAGAGACACTTTTCTATTTATATAACATTTATCGTTGTCACGCGGAGTAAAAATATGTGATACATATGCATTTTACAAATGGCGTCACACAAGGTTATAACGTACAAGGTTCGTTACCAACTAATAATAATATGACATTAATGTTCCTTATAAGTTGATTCTTTGTCCTCGATCATTTTTACTGTTGCTATCGATCATGATCTTAGTCGAAGAAAGTCGAGTTCCTTTTAGACATTTTTTCAGCAGGAATACGAAACGGTGGAAAATGTTCGATTCGCTGACAAGCAGGGGTCAAATGTCAGAGTGCGAAGAAATTTTTTCCAATGCGCAAACCCTCGAGAATGTGGAAAGACCCCACGCAGAGTCAGGGTCAGTGGAACAGCCATCGAAGTCTTTATTGGACAGGCTCGGTCACCTTTTTCTTCGGAAAGTAGCTGTCACGAGAGGCTGTCTAAATTCTTTCTTTTTTTTACAACCACCTTTCACAATACCTTGCGGTTTGTACCATGGACTCTCCAGTCAATCGAAGTACAACAGAATTTCGGAAACGTCACTCTGCTTCACGATGTTTTTTCGCTACTCTTTCGTCACGATCATTGAACGACTTTTCTGTCGCCAACGGAAAAGCGAAACTGAAACCGCGAGGAGACCGTTGCACCTTCGTTATCCTCATATTCGAATCGTCGAGGAAAAAATTCCTTATTCCATTTCATCGATTCTAATTTTCAGAATACGTTAAAAGTTGGACGTCAGTTACATTAATGCTCCTCGCTTCTTGGTCCCTCTGACTAAAAAACATATACACTGAGCAGTAACGACATTTTTCTAATAACAACAGATTCCTAATATTTCAATATATACGTTTTAAAATTACACGTCCTTCTTCGGAACTTAACTCTGTTTCCAAAATGGACGACGTTCGAAGGAAAAATCTGTGGGGCGCAAAGGGTTAAATCCGCGAGCCAAGGGAAAACGGTCACGAGAACGAATAGCTGGGTAAAAGATGTCGAAACAAATCTTCATTTTCCGCGCGCCGCGAAAATTTGCGAGAAAGAAGTCGTGCGGGCGATATGAGCGGCGTTCCAGAGGCAGGAAGACATGTGTCGCGTGCAGTTATATCATTCTTTATGGCCGACAACGTTGGTACCCTTCGTTCATTCGGCGCGAACGTCGCTAGGATATTTGGCCAAGGGGTGTTGATTTACACCGGCATAAAAATGTCTCCCTCCTACCAACCTCTGACGTAGATATCACCTTCTTCGACCACCCCTTCCAACCGTGCTCGCGAATTCGCGCGCTTTTTATATGGGGTTACTTGTGATAAATGCGAGCCACGAATTCTTCGCGAAGAAGAAAATGAGAAAATAGACGAACACTTTACGTGGGTATCTTTGAATGTTTCCAGAAGATAAATTTGTTTGGTGTTACATTTTTTGACTAAATGAAACTGTGACCACATTTGCTTACTGTTTGAGTGCAATAACGGGTCTTCAAAGACCTTTGTCGGCACCGTAATTCTATCCAAGCTCAATACCCACGCATCAATTTAAAATTGATAGTTTAAAGAAGACGAACAAAGTGATCATCTTATTATCCAATACGAGAAATAGTGTTCGGGAAAAATCCCGAACCTTCGAAACATCGACACCGCGCTCTAGCTGTCTCGCTCCCGAGCGGATACCCTCTTGCTTGCGTCTCCTTTGTTTTGAAACTCATTACGTGGTGAGGGGCACTGAGGACGAGACTCGCTAGCTCGCAAAGGATCGCGAAAGCCCGCTAGATGCGAGTTATGTCTATGTCGAATTATTTGTATATAATATGTCGAGAACGTTCGCACTTCTGGAACAATCGACCTCGCGATGTACATATACGCGCCGGATTATCGGAACAAGTTAGTTGTTGTCAGTTGTCTCTCAGAGTTCATTCAACCGTATTATCGACTGTCACTGTCATTCGCTATTGCTTTAATACAAACGAACACAAGGGAATTATTCTCGTGGTGACTTACACCCTCTGATCCCTTTCCGAACCTTTTTCTCCAACATTCGCTGCAACACGAACGCATCGGTCGCGATCCGGACCTTTTCTCTCTCGGCGTAACACGATTCAACCAAAAAATTGTCTGTAAATGTTCGGTAAAGGTACCCGCGACGTCGATAAAACTTTGAAAACACTTCCTCATTGGACACGTTTTATGCCATAAAGCCTGAAGCGGTGTTAACTATCGAGAAACTGGTGAACGATGGGGTTGGTTTAGGGTCATAATAAATAACACGGGCGAATCAAAGGGTTATCAGATCTAAGCAAAGGTTGTAGGTATAGCGCAACTTCTGACGCGTCGAGTGACGATGCTGTAACGTCGTCGGCAAAGTGTGCGCATGTGGGGTGAGAGTCCACGGGGGTAAAAGGCGAGGAAGAGGGGAAGGGGAGGGGGTCAGGCGCGAAGCTATTAAACTGACAGAAACACTTGCCACCCCCTCCTCTGGCCCAGCCACCCCCTCGACCTCCGACTCTATGCCATCCCTTACTCGGAAGCCCTTCGTCCCTTATACTGCAACACAGCGGAGTTATTAATATTTTTCACACCCCCGAAAATTGTCTCCTGTGTGCTCGCCGGGCCCGACAACTTTCGCCGTGTCGGAGAAGCAATTTTACAGGCTTGTCAACCGCCTGCCTGTCGCTGTCAACGCGATCGCGACAAGATACACTCGGAAGGTTTCGGTCCCGCTATTGTTCGCCCCGTTGCCGTTCACGATTATCGATAAATTACGAAATTCCTTCGTGGCTGCAAACTCTGCCGCCGTTGAAATTCAATTATCGATCCTCGAACGAACATCCGTTGTTCCACGGAATTATAGCGCGCGTACCGAAAGAAAGAGAGACTCGACCAGTTATTATACGCACGAGAATCAGATAACCGAGAAATCAAGGTGGGCCACTCTCCGGTACGAATTAGCGGACTGTTAACGGTCGATCGGAGAAAGAAGTATCCAACGCGACGCGAAGAGGAGAACGAGAGAGAAAAAAATCGTGGCCGATGCTCGAGGACGATCGAACAATCGACTGCTGCTCGAGTGGTCTTCCAAGAGTCCGCGTAGTCGACTTCTTGATCTACCCCAAAGCGATTTTGCGCGTCCCTCGACAAAGAACGAACACAAGGGAATTATTCTCGTGGTGACTTACACCCTCTGATCCCTTTCCGAACCTTTTTCTCCAACATTCGCTGCAACACGAACGCATCGGTCGCGATCCGGACCTTTTCTCTCTCGGCGTAACACGATTCAACCAAAAAATTGTCTGTAAATGTTCGGTAAAGGTACCCGCGACGTCGATAAAACTTTGAAAACACTTCCTCATTGGACACGTTTTATGCCATAAAGCCTGAAGCGGTGTTAACTATCGAGAAACTGGTGAACGATGGGGTTGGTTTAGGGTCATAATAAATAACACGGGCGAATCAAAGGGTTATCAGATCTAAGCAAAGGTTGTAGGTATAGCGCAACTTCTGACGCGTCGAGTGACGATGCTGTAACGTCGTCGGCAAAGTGTGCGCATGTGGGGTGAGAGTCCACGGGGGTAAAAGGCGAGGAAGAGGGGAAGGGGAGGGGGTCAGGCGCGAAGCTATTAAACTGACAGAAACACTTGCCACCCCCTCCTCTGGCCCAGCCACCCCCTCGACCTCCGACTCTATGCCATCCCTTACTCGGAAGCCCTTCGTCCCTTATACTGCAACACAGCGGAGTTATTAATATTTTTCACACCCCCGAAAATTGTCTCCTGTGTGCTCGCCGGGCCCGACAACTTTCGCCGTGTCGGAGAAGCAATTTTACAGGCTTGTCAACCGCCTGCCTGTCGCTGTCAACGCGATCGCGACAAGATACACTCGGAAGGTTTCGGTCCCGCTATTGTTCGCCCCGTTGCCGTTCACGATTATCGATAAATTACGAAATTCCTTCGTGGCTGCAAACTCTGCCGCCGTTGAAATTCAATTATCGATCCTCGAACGAACATCCGTTGTTCCACGGAATTATAGCGCGCGTACCGAAAGAAAGAGAGACTCGACCAGTTATTATACGCACGAGAATCAGATAACCGAGAAATCAAGGTGGGCCACTCTCCGGTACGAATTAGCGGACTGTTAACGGTCGATCGGAGAAAGAAGTATCCAACGCGACGCGAAGAGGAGAACGAGAGAGAAAAAAATCGTGGCCGATGCTCGAGGACGATCGAACAATCGACTGCTGCTCGAGTGGTCTTCCAAGA